AGGAGGGTTGGACTAGATGACCCACAGAGGTCCCTTCCAACCCCTACCATTCTGTGATATAAAATACAGTTCAGCTGGAGTAGGTGAATCAATTAAATTGAGAAAAATATAATTGAAGAGTTTTTAGATTCAGTTTTTGGTTTGGGTATCATGGAATATTGGTAGGAAGAATAACAGATCCAGTCTTTATCATAGTCATTTTTTGGGGGGGGCTTGGGGTGTGTGCTGTTAGAAATAGGGAAATAGTAGACTTTGTGTTTGAAAATTTACGGCATTCAGGTGGATTATTTAAGCCCTTTCAGTTTCAACAAAGTGTAATCAGATTTTGACAGTAGACTTGAAGCTTCTTCCACAGCACATGAGTGGTGGGAGAGACTGAAAGCTAGTATCTATTAATTGGAATGAATTTGAATTATCAAGCAGAAGAAACATAATAATTTTAAGTTCAAGTGCTTCAGGAATTTCAGTTAGAAATCTAAATATACTGTGGTATGAGAACTTCTGTGCAAGACCTGCTAGGATGGACCTTGTGGTTACCGCCTGTCTCTTTTACCATCCCCCCTCCCTTACAAATATTTCATGTGGAAAAGTAGCTGCAAGAAATCTTGACACCCACTCATTCTGGTGGTTTATTGTAATAATGTGGCTTGATGGTCCTCAGTTCTGAAGCGTTCTGTGAAAGCATGGAGAGTTTGTAGTCGTTGGTACTAATCTGAAAAAGAAGAGTGTTAGGGGTTTTTTTTAAATCAAATGACTTTCAGGTAGGAGAGAAATTTTCTCAGGTGAACAATTGATTGTTGAGATTGCATTTGAAGAATTAGAAAAATTCATTACTTTGAGCAGCGTGAAACCAAAAGATAACTTATGAAAAGAACACTAGAATTTTCTTAATGTATAGCATTCCAGTTCTGGAGGGGGGGAAATCCTGTGTCATAATATAGAAGAAAAAAAAACACCAAAAAGCTATGTAAAAATTGAGCATTGTCAATATACAAATACATTGTCTGAACCTGTCATAATGCTATGTCATTTCAAATCATGGAACACATAAACTGTTACTGGTTTTGCCTCCAGTTTGCACACTTCAGAGTGAGTTATACTGGTTTGTGGTGGGCTGACCTTGGGTAGCCGGCACGTGCCCACCAAACCGCTCTGTCCTTCTCCCCCGTATCGCTCCCCCTCCCAGCAGAACAGGGGGGAGAAAAGAAGATGACAAAAAACTCATGGCTTGAGATAAAGGCAGCTTAATAAAGAAAAGCAAAGGCCATGCATGGAAGCAGAGGAAAACAAAAAGATTTATTCTCTACTTCCCATCAGCGGGCGATGTCCAGCTGCTCCCTGGGAATTAGGGCCTCAGTGCATATAGGAGTTGCTCCAGATGATAAACACCTTAATAACAACTGCCTCTCTCCCCTCCTCCTTTCACTTAACTTTTATTGCTGAACACATGGTGCGGCATGCAGTGTCTCTTGGGTCAGCTTGGGTCAGCTGTGCTGGCTAGGTCCCCTTCCCACCTCTTGCCCACCCCCAGCCTTTGGGGGTTGGAGGAGCCGCCTTGGTGCTGCGTGGATGAATACAAAGCACAGCGCTGCGAGGGCTGCTATGGGGAAAATTAACTCCATCCCAGCCAGACCCAGTACGCGGTTTTACTCTCTGGTAGATAAAAGAGAGTGGCATACTGGATCAAAACATTTCAGGCTGCATTGTACAAGTATTTCCTCCTTTTCTAATCCACATTCCAAAATGAAAACATGCCTGTCTTAGAAGCATCTAAATGCAAAACTGTGATAGTCAGAAGTCCTCTGCCAATGTCCATAACAGCAGGTCATTGTGTCCCCTAGAACTACTAATGAAAATAATACCACACATGTGGAGGTAAAAGGCATCATGTGGTCTTAGGTGTTCCAAGGACAAGAATGTTTTTAGGTAATTTACACATTTTATCAATTTAGATTATTTAATACCATGATACACCTGGACTTTACCTGATAATAGATTTGCTTAAAGAGAAAAGCTCATCCCTACATCGAGTATTAGGAGTTACGCTTTCCTTTCTGTCTCATCCACCAGAGTGGGGTTAAGTACTAAGTAACAAGTTTAACTTATTAGCATAACGTGCAGTAACTATGCTGCATAAAAGTAGTCAAAATTAGCATCCACCTTCTTTTGTTCCAGAAGTTTAATAGTCTTGGATTGTGAGATTCATCTCCCCTAATTCTAGACAGCTGTGTTGCAGAGCTCTCCATCTAGGCGAATTGCCCTCGGACTGCCTTTATGGTCAATGGGAAGGGGGAGGCACCGCTGAGGCATGATTCATCCCATGGGAGAATAGGGGTCTAAGTAAGATGAGATGAATCGCACTCTGAAAATGCCCATTTCTCTTCAGTGACTGCAAAGGCAGCCTGGGGTGATAAGCTCAACACTGCTGCGTTGTTGAAAGCAGTGGGTGTCACTGGTTACATGAGTTCTGTCCTTTGTGTTCCCAAAGGAAGCCCCCTCCTTGAAACCCTCCTGAGACTGTTGCGTACTGCAGGCAATGTTCGACCTTACACTTAGTGTCAAATTTGCCCGTAACCCTGTGATGAAGCAGATGAGGAAATGTATGCAGTTTAATTAGACTACTTTGCGAGTAAGTCAAAATTTAGCTGCCTATCTTTAGATAGGGGGCAATAGATATGGTGGTAGTATAGAAAGAGTAACCTCAGCATACACAAGCCCGACTGACCAGACAGATGCCTCTTTGTCAGCACTATTTTTCCACCTTAACACATTTTCAAAAACTGGTGGCTCTGTGGTGTTAAACATATGTTTATAATTGCCTACAATTGCTGGCCTGAGTAGTTGTTTGGTATCGTAGTTGATTCACTGTTGATGTAAGTGGCAGTCTACTCATGCCATGGGGCATCCTGTTCCAGCTGTGGCTCAGCCAGGTGACGATACTGAAACCTCACCTTCAGTCTACACCACCTCCTGGGTGTCCACACTTCATGCAATTTTTGTAGCTAAGTTAGAAAGCGCCTCTGCTTTTCAAAATTTTATAAAGCTAGTCCAAGTGACTGAGGAAATTGGGAGGAATTGAGAAGCCAGGGTGCAGACAGGTTAAAGAGGTTGGGAAGTCAAGGCAGGCAGGTGGTGGGGAGCACCTGAGTATATGGGAACCTTTCCACCCAGACAGCTGTGACCAGGACAATACATGAGATTTCACGGAGACTTATTATCAAAATAAACCAATGAATGAAACCTGTGTCGATCAGAAGGTTAAATTTCCTTTCTTTGTCTGGATGTACACCACTGTTTATCAAAAAATCTATTTATGAAAAGTGTATTAGTGGTATCATTTTAAGGTGTGTGACTTACTGTATAATCTACAGAAGGAAAAATAAGATATACAGTATTTATATTTAAGATTTGGTACAAGTTATTACATGGAATAAAAAGTAAGGTATTTGCCTTGCATTACAGGTGTAAAAATCCCATGCACTTAAGAAATTTAGGTGTGTAACGTGTAAGGCTCTCGCTATTCTTTTGCAGCTCTGCATTTCACTGAGTCACCTCAAAACACAGTATAGACAAATATTTCTGGAGCTGTAGCAGATATGTTTATACACAAATGCAAAATGTTAGCTAAGAAAGAAAGGCTATGAGTCTGTAAAGTAAAAACAGGCAAATGTGAATGGAAATGTTTTTAGCACACTTTGTAATATTTTGCCCTTTACATGTCTTTCTTTAAAAAGCCTGAAAAGAATGACACTGAATCTGGCAGCCAGAGAATCAGACCAGTATTTGAAGATGATCCTGTTTTCCGACGGCAAACATCTTACCAACATGCAGCAGTCCACATACCAACAGATATTTATGAAGGCTGTAAGTAGTGTGTGAACAAAATGATTTTATTTTAATATTAAGCTTGTTATTATGTGTCCCATTCTAAAAAACAAATAGCCTCCAAACACAATTTTCATCTCCATTTTTAGTACAGACTTGCTGATATTGTCTTGTTTTCTTCTGTCAGTGGTACTTCAGAGATGTTCTCTATTAGACATATGATTTACATTATGAGTTAATAGGAGCCAAAGTTAAAGAGATACATTAGGATTGGATCTGAGTTTCAGAAATGGAACTGGAGATAAAACGAAAATCTTACATGTTCTAATTTTCTTATCCATTCTTTATGCTGTGTTCTCATTTAATAGAAACAATTCTTGACGGCTCTTCTTTACATGGTTTTGGCCTCAGGCAGAGTTGGGTGCTGAAAACATTTTTGAGTCTCCCCAAAGCATATACAGTTCAAGCAAATAACATGATCTGCGAGATGGTAGTGCTTATACTGCATGCAGTGCATTTCCACAATTCCAGTAACAGACTTTAGCAGAGAATTTGAATAAATTCTTTCTAAACTATGTCAAAAATAGTGTGTATATATATACATCATATACTGCTGAGGATTTTTTATTTAAAAATTAAATACTTAATTTATCTTTCAAGATGCAAATAGCTTCCTTTTTCTGTGCTCATCAAGAAAAAGTCATTATTGAATAAAAAGACATTTCAGCATTTGGAATGGCTGCATATTCTCAAGAAAGGGGAAGAAAAATGAAATAGGATCCATATTTTTAAGGTGCTTTTTTTATTTATTTAGAGTCCTAATTTCAAGCATGCAATGTTTCTCCTTTCTCAAAATCTCATCAAGAGGAAAGAGACCCTAATGTGACCTGAGCTCTTTAAAATTCATAGCCATGGTTTCATGTGCCTTATATAAATGACACGGGGATGAAAATGAAAATGTCAGTATGAAGGTGGAAAGAATCATAGTAGCTCGTATTCTTATATGGTGTGCTTGACTGACAGACCTAGAGGATTATTCTGGGATTCTGGCTTCAATAAGTGGTAAAGTGCACCTTAATTGTAGGATTACAGGGAAGAGACAGGCCATTTCCTTTGCTGTTGTTTGAAAAGAATTGATACTTCGCTATTAAAATGTTATAAAGACTTGCCTCTATTAGGATATTTGTAAACACCATGTGAACTTTGATATGTGATTGTCATCATAAGCGTATGTAAAATGTTTTGTTGTTGTGTTGAACTTGACATTTTAGATTGTATTCCTAAAGACACTTATGTCCCTTAAAAATACGTGGTAGGTAATGTTGCTGTGTAGCCTATTAACCTAAAAATGAAGACAGGCTATGACTTCCACAGAAAAGGTACAACTTTAGTATCTAATGAAATAATAATAACAGACAGAAATGTACATGTTTTGAGATGGGTAACTACGTGTGCAACACATATCATTCATGAGAAATTCATGGTTCTTTGGATCTTTACCGGGAAGACTAATTTTGCGTCAGCGAAATCCTCTTGTTGGGTGGCTGGGTAACTTCTGGTTACAGATGGTGGTATCACAGATAACGGCTTGAGAATACCTAGAAATCACAGATTTCATATCAATAAACACAAAATCATCACCAGGTTTATTTTACAGTAACAAAGTTCATGTATCATCTGAAACGCAGTGAGCAATTGGAATGTAGTTGCTCACCACCACGTTTCCAAAATTTGAGTTTAATTTTCTTTTCACAAGCCATATTATCCACAATAAATTTTTATAACCCTAGAACAAGTGGTAAGTTATCTTGAACACTGTTGTAATTTTTCTTCCTGTTCACACGAGCTAAACTGTCATTTCTTGATAGAGGTTTCAGTGCCTGCTATGGTAGGGAACACTTGTACACTTTGAAAACAGTTCGCAATAAATCTGTGATTCCTTGTCTACATCACAGTCTGCTAGTGAACGTTTACAAAACACGTATTGCAACAAATCCTTCTGAGAAACAGTGGATGAGACACAGTTCACAACTTCTGTTGCTTGGAAGCCAGTTTTTTTGGACTGGATTACAACTTGGAAAGCAGATTTCATTTCTTCCTCTCTTATTGTAGGTGTTTTGTAGGATGCCATGAGAAACAAAGAATTACTCTTTGGATCTCACTGAACACGATTCAGTGACTAGGTATTTGACTTGCCTACTCTTGCTCGAGATTGTTTTTCACTTCTATTGCCTCTTGCAGCAGCAGGTTGTTGTCTCTAGGGGAGAGGGACAATTACGGTTAGAGCCATGCGCTTTCCTAAATCTGAATTTTCACTTGGATCTGTTGATCGCACTTTGTAATCTTAATTATTTTCTTACTGTATGAAGCTGGGAATTTGAGAATCACTGACTCTTAAGCAATATGTTACCCATGATAATCTTTCTTCCCTATTCAGGTTTCATTTTTATTGTGGTTATTATTTATGATTTTTAAAGTATGAATCATATACTGAATTTCTGTGATACTAAATTCTGAATATGTGGATCCATCCCCCATTTAGCCCTTTGATACTGGGAAGCTGGTCTGGCCAGTAATTTTCTGATGATGCACCACCTATTTAAACCTGGCAAACTAGTATGTACTATAAAATAATATTCTTTGGCTTGCTACGTATGTAGTGATTTTCTTATTTTGGAATACCATGATGAGCTTCTTGTGGAGTAGTCCCTTTTATTTCACTGTAGAAATAAGTTATACATCATTACAAAATATTCATTCACTACATCAAGGTTATTACTTTGTGGCTTATTTGATTGCAGAAAGAAATATTGTGAAAGTTACTTTTGCCTTTCCCTGTATCGGGTACCGAAACCTAAGCAGAGACAGTGAAAGGTCTAGGGAGTTAATTTATTTGCCAGTTTATGAGGATTACAGTCCCACCACAGGAGAGGACAATCCCAACAAAATAGACCCAATCAGACTTTTAATTTAGTGTTTTTCATGAGTACCGTTTAGGTTTTGGGATAAATCAATCTGTTGCTGAAAACAGAACAGACCCTCAGGTCGTCTTTCTACCATGTGCACTGGGAATTAGTCACGCATCTCCTATTAGTAATAACAGAAGTCTTATTTCTAAATCCCCATTAATACTGTACCCTGCTTATCGCTAAGCAGAGCACGGGAACTGCAGGCCGGCAGTGAGAGGAAATCCTGGGCACAGGGCAGCGAGGTCCGGCTGCTGAGGGGGTACCAGCACACCTTGTCCTCGCTGCCTGCGGTGCGTAACGCACCATCAGCTGCCGTGGCTGCTCCCGACCTAAATCTGTGCTGGTGTTACAGCTTTAGGAGAGGTGTTAGGCAATGCACACAAACAAGGACTGCTTTTTTTGTGTGTGGTTACTCCTGCTTTACTTCCTTTAAATCAGAAATGGAAATATTACTTCGCCATGTCACTCATTGATTAGCACTGAAGAATTGATTAAAGAGTCAGGTTGACAGTAATGTGCCTTGAGCATGAGGACATCACTTTGGGTCTGTTTGGAAGGCTACCAGCCAGAAAAAAGGCCTCCCCGCCTCAGGACCCATTAAAAGTCATAGATAAAGTTACCATTAATTGATAGTTCTTAGAGCTTAGTGATCATAAAATGTACATACTGTTTGTTCATACCCCCATTTTATTGGGGTCGTAGTGAAATTTTGCTGCTCCTTAAAATCTTGGAAGTTGTATAACATTTTTTGATAGTAAGTTTGGTAGTGGACATCAATTTTACCTTGATTCTAGTGCATCATGTATGCAAATACTCAGTTATTGATGAAGTATTTTGACATAATCATGCTTAGTACTGGGAGGCAATCAAAACTTTTAGGAATAACTTGAAAAATTCTGTTTTGATGCTACAGTAATTTTTATCTTGACTGAAATACTATCCCTTTGACTGAAGTTTTCGTACTATTGAACAATTTCTGCATATCTAGGGCGTCTCAGCCTACATGCTTGGAAGGAAGAGATATTCTTTGGAAAGAAACTTAAAAATGCTGTGAAAGGAAATCGTGGGAGCAAAAATATTTCCCCCCAAAAAACCCACAACAAATAACAACTCCAAACAACTAGGAAAAAGTGCATTGTCATTTATTCATGCAAGGCCTTATATATGGATAATAAGATTTTTTCAGGAATGAAGGTATTGATAAAGTGTTATGTAAAAATTTCAGCATGCTACATCAGCATTCCTTAAATGACTAAAGGAGAAATAAAACTTTTTTGTATTTAGTTTAAATAGCAATAACAGATAGGCAAGACAATTTTATTAATTAAATTGCTTGGTTCAAAATATATTAAGATTGATGCTGGTGATATATTTTGGTTATAGTTGAGAAACTGAAGCTACTCAGAACTATTTTTTCCCATGGTTTCTTCTAAGGGACAAACAAATATCTTTGTTTTACTACACCTCAGATCAAAAAAAATGATTGTTTCAAGTCTCTGATTGTGTGTGTGTGTATGTTCCCACCTTTAAATCTGGAAATAGAAGCTGGATTATATCATGAAGTATGTCTTGTGCAGATGGAGTGAAAGATTACTGTTTGTTCTAAGTATTATTTTTTAAATATTTTCAATTATTTTAATCAGTGAGTTATTTGTGAAAACATGCAATGAGTAAAGTGGACCTTTAAATGAAAAATTTTCAGTGCCAGCCTGTTTTAAATACCAAACACTATGGCTTGGGGGAAGAAAAAAGCAAATGTTAGTTGCAGCCCAGTCCATAAGCAAAAATACTGATGCAGAAGCTTAAGAAAAGAACTCTAGGGTCAGTATTGTTTTTTGTGTTCTGTGATTTTTTTTTTTTTTTTTTTTTCCCCTGAAGTAGCTTACTAAAGCTCCCTGAATGAAAATCTTTTTAAATAAGTGGCAAAAAATAAGCTTTTCTGCCTGGATGAAAAAGCTTGTTTCTGTTCAGAATTCAGAAGGGCAAAATACTCTAACAGTGTCCTCCATCATGAGGAGGTACTTGCGTTTTGGTACTTGGATTACGTTAGTTTTATTGGATGGTCTTAGC